AAGAAAAGAAAAGAAAAGAAAAGAAAAGAAAAGAAAAGAAAAGAAAAATGGGAATACTCCCAGAGGGCACCTAGCTGGCCCAGTCAATAAAATGGGAAAACTCCCAGTTAAGTCTAGTATATTAGTTCAGGCTTTGCCAATGTGTGATTCTGAATAAAAATCTTAACTACTGTAGGGCACAGCTTCCTTTTCTGTCAAATAATTTCTAAAATCTCTTCCATTTCTAGTGGTCACAGATTCCGTGCTCTAATACATTTCCTTAGAGAAAAGTATAGAACGTATCATTCAGCTCCCATGGCAATTACACAGAAGATAACACTGATTTCAGGTTTAGAAAAGACTTGCATTGAAGAGAAAAATAATTCAACTCAAGGTTTCTAAAGATAAGCTACCATGGATTCACTTTGCGAAGATTTAGTGTCGGCCTTGATTGCCCAATGAACACATACGACCTCAAGAACTGAAAATACAGTAACAACAAGAAGCACCACTACCACGACTGCTACACAGTAACAATTGAAAAGCTTTAGCTCATCCTGGGTAATGGCCAAAAATTAATTATAATAATCAAATAGGAACAGAAAAAAGAAAGAAGGCACAGTAAGTACCAAAGGCTTCTTCCTCAAAGATCAATAAAGATCAATATTTCATACTGGTTTACACAAAGAGCCAACATATTCACCTTGCTTCATATCCTCTCCTTTTTTATAATAATGGTAAAAGGAGAGACTCTCTGGATTAAGTTACTAGTTGGAGCTAATGTTTTAATAATCTTTAAATCGGACTACAGTCAATTCTAAATCTTGATCCAAACCATAAACACCAGAAAAAAAGTTCCCTCCTTCCCTAATAACATAACTCCTAACTACCTTCCCATAAACTGTAAAACCTTTGGAAGTGGGAATCTATTTCCACTGACACCTAATTACGGTGCCAAGTTTGCATACTATTGATGGGTTTCATAAAGTAAATGACCCACACTGCTTTACCTGGTACATTCCAACTCCAATGTGCTTCGGCTCAATTTTCACCAGCTCAGCTAATGGGTCTTGTACACGCCTTGCTATGGAAACTGAAAAAACAGAAAATAAGTATGGCTTAATGTGAAAAGCAGTATCCAGATAATTACATATGTTACTTCCTCATAATGCAAGTATTTAATTCCTTCCCTCTTCTCCCACACAAGAAGACCAGCAATTTAAGTTTCGAAATATCTTTTTCTTTTTTTCACACAAAAAAAGTAAAGGCAAAATTTCAGGATTAATTTTGTTACCAGAATCCCTAGGCATTTCTGAGCACAAACAGGTTGAAAGGGTTATACATTTGGAAAACCACAGAAAACAGTTACTATGCGTACACAATTATCTGTTCATTCTTTGAACACCGCATAGTAGGGCACCTCACGCTTTAACAAACAAGTATATATATATTTGTTTTACTTTTAAATAATCCTGATTATGACATACATTTGCACATCAAATATGTTACTAGGACAAGATCCTGATAATGATGAGTAACTGACGGAATCATATTTTACTGCAACCAGAGACCACGTCAGTTGCTTGTTGAACACACTTGTACTGCCTTAAATACAATTGCAAGTTTGACTGTGATCCGAGTCTCAAATGCTTGACTCTTAACACATTCACAGTTCTAAATCACAACCCTTTCTTGAACATCACAATCCATGTTCAAGAGATTTGAGTTAGCTTCAAACATTCCTTTATCTGTTGTCATGGTTTTATACTTGGTCATCATTTATTGTCTTTTTTTTTTTTTTTTTTTTTTTTTTTTTACAAAATGTTAACAAAATTTCATATCTAATTTAGATTAAAAGATAGATTTAGCTGGAGAAAAGAAATGTAATATGAATACTAAGGATGCCTACAAAGACAGCTCTTTTTTTTTTCTTTTCCCCAGTAATATAGTTACATTGGGTCCTTACCTACAAACAGCTTTCTTCTAAATTCAAGAAAGCTAGTCAGTGTCATCTACTTACACAGACGGTTGGATGAAATACAAACTCAGTTAGTGAAAACATGAAGGCCATCAGAGGAGATCCCATGCCTGTTCTTGTGTTAAACTGTTCAAGGTCTGGCAACAGAAGCCACCTCATGCAAGGGACTATCATGTTCTCTTGTCACTGATTTGTACCATCTCTTCACCAGAGATAAGACCTACTCTGAGCATCAAGTTCACTGCATGGTCACTCAAGTCTTTTTCATATCTTTATTATTACTTCTAACATACAGTGACAATGGCAGCTTACAAAGCTAGCAGACAGCGATAAGCTGGTGTCATATAATCTGCCTATTTCCCCACCAAAGAGATGGGAACTCCAAGGCCTTCACGTACACTTTCTTTTCAAACCTCACAACAGGTTAATAATGAGTGCAAGCCCTGCAGGTTACAGGGGAAATGCCTCCCCCCAGTAATCACACGTATAATTACACAGTAAGAATAGATGCCACCAGGGAAACATCTCATAGTCTCTGAAAGCAAGCAGCATTCCTTTATTCTAGCCAATAAGATGATTTTCAAACACATACATAGTCAAAATACTTTCAGATTTAAAACAAAAAACAAACAAACAAGAACCCACAACAGTGAACCAAGTGAAAAAATACAGGCATCAGAACATTCATTGCAGGAAGGCAATATTAGAAATAAAAAAAAAAAAAAAAAGACATTAAATAAGTAAATCTCTCAAATCTACCCCTTCAGGAAAACCCACATTATGAAAATCTATACTTAGAAACTGGTTAGACAGTTGTATAAGTTGTTAAGTGTGAGCAGATTTCCATATTTTAAAAAGTTTTTCAATACACAAAAGGGTTTTAACTTATTTTCGACCTGGTTCCTCCCTAACTGGTTCACTGCTAGCATCTCCTCTGTTCATCCTGATATTGCTAAATGCAGCAACAATAAACTGGACATGACAGTTCTCCAGTACGTCCTAAGAGCCTCTGGAATTACAGTGTCCCCAATACACAACCTCTACATAGATCCTAATATTTCCAGAATTGGTGTTTTGCTTTCAGATGCTACTCACTCTACAGAGCATAAAAACCCAAGCATGGGAGAGATGGGAGACAAGAGGAAAATGACCATTGTTCATTTGAAGGATGTTCATTGTTCTTGAAGGAGGTAACTTAAACATTGTTTGAAGTAGCACTGGAAAGTTGTATGTCCAGGCTTTCAAGAGAAGATAGTGCTGTCAGGGTACACAAGAAAGAAGTTATTTAATTAACAGTAATGCCTACCCGTAGGTTGAGAATGATCAGGCTGACAACAGATTCCTGAAGGTAAGAGACAGATAGGTAGCTCAGGCAAAGGGAATTATATAGAGTGCTGATAAAGAGAATGAAGAGAAAGGAAGAGTCATGGCCCAAAGGTTGGGGGCACATTCACACTGTGAGATAGAGAAGAAAAGGTTGACATAGTGAAAGAGACAGAGAATAAACAGGGAGGAAAGCATAGCAGTAGATAGAAAACAAAATTCTAGAAAATGTTTAACACAGAGTTACCATATGTCCCCCAATTTTTACTCGTAGGTGGTATACACTCAAGAAAAGTGAAAACATATGTCTACATAAAATGTTATTCATGAATGTTCATAGCAGCATCATTTATAACAGCCAAAAAAGTGAAAGCAACCCAAATATCTATCAACAGATGAACGAATGAACAAAATGTGATATACTCATACAATGGAAAGTTATTTGGCAATGGGAAGGAATGAAGTGCTGATACATGCTACAGCGTGAATGAACCTTGAAAATATTATGCTAAAGTGGAAGAAGCCATGTACAAAAGACCACATGTTGTAATGATTCCATTTATATGAAATGTTGGCAATAGGCAAATCCATACAGACAGAAAGTAGATTCGTATTTATCAGAGGCTGGGGGGAAGAGGGCAAGGGGGACTGTTGCTAATGGGTGCTGGGTTTCTATTTGGGATGAAACTGTTCTACAGTTAGATAGAGGTGATGGCCGCACAATTCTGACTGTACTAAAACATACTGACTTATCCACTTTAAAAGGGCAAATTTGAGGCTGTGTAAGTTATATGTCAATGAAGTGGTTATGTATTTTTATTTTTTTTTAGGTTTATTTATTTATTTTGAGAGAGAGAGAGAAAGCACAAGTGGGGGAGGAAAAGAGAGAGAGGGAGAGAGAGAGAGAATCCTAAGCAGGCTTTGCCCTGCCAGAGCAGAGCCCGACGTGGGGCTTGAACTCATGAATCATGGGATCATGACCTGAGCTGAAATCAAGTCAGATGCTTAATCAACTGAGCCACCCAGGCACCCCTATATTTTTTTAAATGTAGTATATCCAAACATATGCCAAATACCATTTTGCCCACATGATGTCAATATATCTCCATATCACTGTTACTATTCACCATTGTTCAGGAAATTCTAGTCAACGCAACTGAACAAGAAAAGGAAGGTATAATTACTGAAGAGATAGAAACTAGATGATGATGATGACGACGATTTGCAGATGATGACTGACTACCTAGAAAACCCAAGCAAGTCAACTGAAAAAATATCAAAACTAGCAACATTTCAACTGGCTGGTTTTAAAAGACACCCAGACAATAACTAAGCAGTACCATATGCCATCAACAACCAATAAGAAAATACCACGGAGGACAATCCATTTACTGTGTTGTATATCGCCTGCGAGTAATAAAAATAAAGTGTACAGGGGCCCCTGGATGACTCAGTCGGTTAAACATCCAACATTGACTCACGGTTTGTGAGTTTGAGCCCCACATTGGGCTCTGTGTCTGACAGCTCAGAGCCTGGAGCCTGCTTCTGTGTCTTCCCCTCTCTCTGCCCCTCCCCTGCTCATGCTCTGTGTGTCTCTGTCTCTCAATAATAAATAAATGTTAAAAAAATTTTTTTAAGTGTACAGAATGTAGATAAAAGTGCCAATTTAACAGAAAGAAGTTCACTTTATATTCTAGAGATTTAAAAATATTAATTAAATGGCTCTAATTTATATGGAAAAAAAGAAATGCATAAGAAAAGCACCATTAAGGGGCATCTTGGTGGCTCAGTTGGTTAAGCATCCGACTTCAGCTCAGGTCATGATCTCGTAGTTCTGAGTTCAAGCCGTGCATCAGTCTCTGTGCTGACAGCTCGGAGCCTGGAGCCTGCTTCCAATTCTGTGTGTGTGTGTGTGTGTGTGTGTGTGTGTGTGTGTGTGTGTGTCTGTCTCTCTCTCTCTCTCTCTCTCTCTCTCTCTCTCTCTGCCCCTCCTGCGCACGCGCGTCTGGTGTGTGTGTGTGTGTGTGTGTGTGTGTGTGTGTGTGTGCGCGCGCATGCGCTCTCTCTCAAAAATAAATTAAAAAAAACATTAAAAAAAGAAAAGTGCCATTAAAAGAAGATTAAAGCAAATCACGTCATAAGCCACAGTAATTGAGAGCTTCTTGCATTGTGGCACATTAGACAGACCAATGAAAAGATGACAAAAAGGATACATAGGAATTTAGTCTTTAATATATGGTAACTTGTTAAATGGGAAAAATGTAACTCGATGTGTAAAGGGAGACAACTCAACTGCTACTGAGACAAAATTAAGCATTAGAGGGAAAAATTCTGTTAGTTACACCAAAAAGAGGGGCAGGGAGCACAGACTGAGTGCTAAAGGTAAGCAACCAGAGCTTCGGCATGTGGTTAGGCAGGATGTACAGTGTACAACCTGCACCACTGTATGTAGCACCCTTGAAAGCACTGTTTCCCTCTCCTTCATAATATGCCTTCTATCTGAAGGATAAAAAGGTATGGGTTTTGGTCTTCAGTTCTATGAAATATCTAGAATCTTAAAGCTTCTAAAGCAAATAAACTTCCTGCTTAAAAGACAGTAATAACTGTATTCTCCTAAATCTGCCTTATTCTGGGGGTGCCTGGGTGGCTTGGTTGGTTGAGTATCCAATTCTTGATTTTGGTTCAGGTCATGATCTAAAGGTTAGTGAGATTTAAAATAATTTGCCTTATTCTGTTATCTAAAAATATGACATATTCTGTTATCTAAGAATATCAAAGTGGAAATTTTTATTTCTAAAGTCCAACACTCACCTCATTTTAAATTTCCCCTTGCCATCAGACAGCAACAGAGGAAGGTAAGTAAAATTTCCCAGTGCTGTCTTTTTTCATTCAACAACTCCAAATAAGAATTTTTTTCATTATAAAGCTTATTAATGATCTTGATCCCCTAATTAATAACTACATTTCTGAACAAGAAGCTGACAAATCTGTTGACCTGATAAAAATATTCTTTATCTTGATTGTGGTGTCAGTGGTTGTGGTTACCCGACTAGTTTAAGCTTTTCAAAATGCATAGACAAATTCAAAAATTCACCTAAAAAGGGTGAATTTTATTTTATGTAAAGTTTATTTAAATGAATGAAATATATTTCATTTCTCTAAGGATGTAAAAGTTTTTCTTCTTTTTCTAAAGTCTTTATTTCACCCAAGTGGACTCTGTACTGTCCCCTCCCCCCCCCCACCATCTATCTTTAACAGTGTAAGTTTCCTTAAATGACAGGTGACCCTTGACTGTCCATCAGGAAGAGGGTACCAAAAAGCTGCCTCTAAGCGCTTTGCCTAAATGTGAAGTTTATCAGCTGTGGGCTTCATTATATGGTGATCTGGCCCATTTCTGTTTGTACCTCTGATCTCAGTTCTTTAGGTATTTTCTCTTGTCTAGGTGTCAGAATTCCCCTATCTCCTGCATGGAGGGCTTAGTGCTCTCCAAGATCTCTACATCAGCATGTAAGTAATTATTTAATCCCTTCTTCAGTAGGTATCCCAACTCTCATGTATAACCTGTGTCCTCCAGTATACAGACTTTCTGTTTAGCCCTCTCCAGAGAAACAAATCTCCGGTCTTCTGCAAAGGTGAAAGAACAATCACTTAACTGTGTGGAATGGAAGGTCTTTTTTTTTTAATTGAAGTGAAATTATGTAACATAAAATTAACCAATGAGTACAATTCAGTGGCATTTATTATACTTACACTGTTGTACAAACCACCACCTCTATCAAGTTCCAAAAGAGTTTCAACGCCCCCCAAAGAAAACCCTGTACCCATTAAGCAGTCCCTCTTCATTTGCCCTTCTTCTCAGTGCCCGATGACAACCAATCAGCTTTCTGCTTTTATAGCTCAGCCTATTTTGTACATTTCATATAAATGCAACCATACAATATGTGGCATTTCGTGTTGGCTTCTTCTACTCAGCATGTTTCCAAGGTTCATCCATGTTGTGGCACATGTCAGTACTTCTTTTCTATGGCTAAAAATAATATCCCATTGTATGGATATACCACATTTTGTTTATCCATTCAGCCACAGATGGACTTTGGGTTGTTCCCAGCTTCAGGCTATTGTGAATAGTGCTGCTATAAGCACAGTGTACAAGTATTTTGTTTGAGTCCTTGTTTTCAACTTTGAGTATACACCTAGGAGTGGAATTGCTGGGTTTAACTTGGTCTAATTGCCCTTTAAACAAAACTTTCAATCAATCCTCTTACTTTAGATCCACCCACTGCCCTCACAAGATACTTCTAAAGGTAACCTGGTGAATTTCCTGAACCTATAAGGGTTCCATGACCACTTCAGGTTAGTTCTCTGTTTTCTACATGCTCTCTTAGTATTCAACTCTCTCAAGTTGGCTACCTTACTTCTTATTCAGTCATCTGCTTACTAGCTTCAAAATGATTGTTGCTGTTCTTTCCTCTCCATCCTCCTTGTCCTGAGTTTCTGCCTTCTTTCTGTCATGTTACTGTCATTTTGGTGGGAGTTCAGAAAGGAGTAAAGGAATAACAGGTATACTCAATCTTCTTTTTTAAGTCAGAAATCTGTAATAAACATTTTAATATCACCTACCTACTATTCTATCTATCCAGTTGAAATGCCTCTCATGTATGATGAACTTATTATGGGAGACTATAAGCACATATAAGGATAACCTCTGCTTTCAATAGGCTGACAAACAGGTCAGAAGATGTAGTGATCGGAAGGTCATCTTACGTTATGTTTAACACTGTATGAATGTTAAGGTTCTGTTACGTTCAGACAGAGTAAACTTACAGAGGGTTAAAAAGTAAAACCCACACCCATAGGTAGCACAGGTCTCAAATGAAGTATAAAGTCATCCCTGGCATCAGTCACTAGGAAAGAGAAGGACCTCTGGTCAGAAATCAGGAATTGAAAAGGTGGCGGCCCTAGAAAACCAAGAATGGAGACTCCGAGCTTCTTTCAGTATTTGCCTTCAGGACCACTCCTGGAAGACTCAATACGTCTAGGTAGATTTTTTCAGTTGATATGGATCAAACATAGTCACTGTCATACGAGAGCAAGCTGAATCACAGAAGGAAGGCATACCTGTGGTGAATCACACACTGAAGACACAGCCAGCCTTTGGAATCTGAGTAAGTAGGACCATGTAATGATTCCTCTTTTTATTATCTCCTATTTTCAGAGAGTCTTGTTGGGATGTTGTAATCCTGTCTCACCCACAACACTGTGACAATTACCCACGTAGGCCAGTGGTGAAGAGGAAACAGCAGCCCCCGTAGCAGTGGGAGGTCTGAGAGACTGCCACCCCCCAGAAGATATTTCTCTCAAACGTTCTGTTAGAAGATTATCTTTCAGTGCCACCAACTTGGAAGGTTTTGAATTTTATTATTTAAGAAAGAAAAGTATCCTTTTATTATAGAAGTACATATATATATACTTATTCGTTATGTGGCCTCTTTAAGCCTTGGTTTCCTCATCTGTAAAGTGGGAATAATAAATGTCTCAAAGGGCAACTATGAGACTAAGGCAATTATTAGCAGTTCCCAATATGATTACTATATCTCCTCCTCTGACCGAGCACATGGCAAGGAGACAAAGCCCACACTGAACTGCTGTGACAGGGAAAAGTTTCACAGAAGGATCAAAATTTTGAGCTGGGATCTGAGTTTGAGAAGATGACCATGTTAGACAGGGGACTGTATCATGGAGCAAACAATCAAAGGGAAACTACAAGCTCTTTTGGATGTAAGTAGGCTTTTAGCCTCAGATTAATGCAAAAAATTTCAAATATGTATCTCCAGGTACATATTTCAAGAATAGCCAATGAAACTTGAAGAATAGCCAATGAAATTTTAAGTTAAAATTTTTTTCAAAAGTCCCTTTCTAACAACGTCTAAATTTCCAGCTATTACACAGAAAAACGTTCTGACCAGAGTTAACATTTTCCTTATAATACAAATTATTTTCACAGGACATATCAAACTATCTTAATTTCTTCACACACAAGATTTTAACTATTCCACAAAACAGAAACCAAAGCAACTTAATGTGACTAAACTCAAAGCAGGCTGTTTTAAACATTAAATGAAACCGCATTAGCAAGACAAGAGAAACTGGTCATCTGACAAATATTTAGCAATAAACTATGCGTGTTTAATTTGCAATATAAATATATTTAGGTTAATATATTAATTTTGCCAATAAAAAGCTATAATAAATAATATTTTATAGTAATAATATGAGATCTTAGAGTATCTTATTAATTTTATTATTAACTTTCAAGCATTTAATTTTACTAAGGGCATTTTGGGCTAATTTCTAGTATTCTTCCTCTTCTGTTCCATAATTCTAATTATCCTAATCAACCACTTTCTTCCTAACATGCCAATTCTTACGTATATATCTTCTAAATGATTTTGGATAAATATTTTGCTTGCTTAAAACATAAGTCCAAAGTATCACAATCACATGCTTTTGTGATGGTTCATAGTTTCTTACCTGCACTTCTCAAATTAGGGTCCAGCCCCGGCATCTCTTTGTTAGCTTCAGGGCTGACACTGTAGATTGATGCCCCTGCTTCACTGACGATACTGAGAAGAAACAAAAGGGGGAATATAATTTTCCAAACTTTCTGCCTGGTCGAAGAAAATAAATGAATAAGACTGGGTATTATAAGAAAAAAAAAAAAAACCAAAACACCTGTTCTCTTTTTATTTCAGTGGTACCTATAGCATTTAATTTTTCATAAACATAAAGTGATCAAGTAATGTTTGTGTTCTACACAGAGGAAATACAGAGGTTTATTATTTTTTAGGTTTATTTATTTTTTGAGAGAGAGAGAGAGAGACAGAGAGAGAGTGAGCGAGCAGGGGAAAGGCAGAGAGAAGGGGAAGAGAGAATCCAAAGCAGGTGCCAAGCTGTCAACGCAGAGCCCAATGCAGGGCTCGAATCCACAAACCATGAGATGGTGAGCTGAGTCAAAAAGCAAGAGTTAGATGCTTAACTGAGTCACCCAGGTGCCCCAGAAATACACAGGTTTAAATACATAATGAATTCATTCAGTTGTTTCCTGTCCATAGTAATCAAATAGATTATAGAAAAACACAATGGATACTCTCCCCTGATGCCAACTTCAAATTTCCAGAATACACTGAAATTCTCTTTATAATCCGCTGTTGACTGACACTTAATGACTCCCAACTGAGTTAACCATTCTAAAGCATCATGGAAAGCACATACACATGTGTGTGGATATGTACATATGTGGATATATACAAAAACCACTGCCATAGACACTTCCATTATTATTACTCAATTATAATGAACAACCACAATGTGAACAGGAAGGGGATCAGATGGGATATTATCCCACTTCTTTTCAGGAGAATCTAAAATCATCCTTCAGTAAACTTGAAGCCTTTGACCTCAGGCAGTTGGTCAAACTATTTCATTTCAGCATCTATTTAATCAAAGCATCCCATACATCATCCTCTTCCTTTCTTCTTTGCCTCCAAATACTTCATACACCACTCTTCTGCAACTGACCTGTTTATGGTGGTTGACATCACTACAGTTCATTGAACATTTTTAAAATTAGAGGCATTTTTTTATGACAAAACACGCAAAGAAACATCATCTACCCTTAGAATTTACAAGACCTATACCTCTCTGCCGTGCCATCTAGGCATTAAGACTCAAAAGCGGAAACATATTAGCACTTAATTTTTAATCCACTATTAGAAACTTCTTCCCTTCTCTGTTCCTCAATATTTACTTCAATTATAAGACAAGTTTAGTGGATACCTTTTAAATATTGCCCCCTTTTAAGAGCTGAACACTGATAAAGAAAAGTGTGAAAAAGTTAGTTTGTTACCCCTTGTGTTTCAAGAACTCTTGACCAAACTTTGACAACAATTAAAAACCACCAAGATTTGAAGATTATTTTGGGGAATATGAAGATTTATATTTTTTTGCAACCAAGTCTACTGTCCTAAATTTCATAATAGGAAAAATGAACACGCTGCAATTGAAAAGCAAGGCTGTTTATCCTGTTCCTCATCAATACTACCCTCGGGATACAAAAGGAGGTAAATGAGTGTGTATTACAAAATTTGCTTTAACAGATAAGTAATATGCCCAAGGTCATTTGGAAGGTAAACTACTGAGGTGGATTTGAACCCTAATCTGCTTGAAACCCAAGAATGAGCTCTTAACCAGCAGAAAGAAGCACAAATAACTTCTGAATAGCTTTACAACCCCTCATTAAAATGAAAACCCATATTTTTGTACTAAACAATACATGTAATAATATCTTTTTAAAGAAGAACCATTTTCTTAAATAATGGATCCATAGGAGCACATTTCTCTCTTTCAATGCCTTCACTTCCAATCAAAAGGTAAAATGGGTTTTGTTTTCTGTGTCTAACAGAACCTAAAGCATGGAGAAGGTCAAATATGTTCTATGATTTCAGAGATGGACTTTAAAATGAAAAGGTAATTGTGCTTTTTCTTCAATATAAGAGTTAGATTCTGCTTATCTTCTACTATGTAATGATCAAGGAGAAAATGTAATGTCAAATAAAGCTTGAAGTGAAGAAAACTCTTAGTGTGGCATAAGAGGATGTTAAAACCAACATACTAGAAGGGATTTTTCAGTTTCATCATAGTGGTACTTCCTTACCTGGGGCCCTTGGTCTTCTAGGCAAGGAAAAACAGGATTAATAAAAACTGTATACAAAATATTTGGGCTTATCCATTTTTTCTAGGAAAAGGGATTATAGTTTTCACTGATTACTTAAAGAAATCCACAACCCCAAAAGAGGTTAGGAAGCACCATCACAGTATAAGAATATTCAGACACTAGTCATGGAAAATCTGGTTTCAAACACAAATCAACAGTCTAACAAAGTTTTGTTTTGTTTTGTTTTTCCTAAAAAAACCTAGAGCATCCATGAAGTGCAGGGTGGACCTATTATTAAGGGAAAAGAATATTTTTAAAAATTTCACCACAGATTTATTTTCTATCATTTCAAGAAGGCTCCAAAATTACCACTATTAAGTAAAGGAGACTGAAGTGGTAAATACAAATTCCAATTAACTGTGGCCTTTAGCAACTTGGTACCTGAGAATTTTCTGGGTGATTCACTGTCTCTTGGAAGGTATAATTCTCAGTAGACTGAGGGAAACTGTTGCAAAGAAAAACACTCAGATAATAAATATTCCTCCAAATACCACACTGCCACTTCTTTTAAACAGAGGAATACAAAACAGATGTGACACACTGCACCAAAAGATTTTAGATTAACATTAATATTAAATCAATACAAAATGTAGTAAATTTCATATGCTTTAGTTATTACATAGCATGGGTCCAATAAACAGTTCAGTACTAAGCACAGATCAGAATGCTCCAATAATCTAAATGAACAGAAAAACCTCAACACTGACTTCTTCAATATAAAACACTGAAGGACCTAAGAAGTGTATGTGGCAAGAATTAAATGAAACAAATCAAGCTGGGAGTGGTGATGATTTTTTCCAGGAGAAGCTGAGAAGAACAAAAGTTATAATGACCCCACCCCAAATATCCTATTTGGATTTCAAGGATAGACATTCAGAGAGCATGCTAGATTTTATAAGCCACTTTCTGTGTATTGCAAGTTTCCCAATAAATTATTGGAAAAGTACTCCAATTATCTCTAATATATTTTGAAAAAAGCAAAAAGGAACTTTACATAAAATTCAGACAGCTCCTGATTTAATAAATATTATATTCCATAAAACAAATTTCTCTCAGGTGTAAAGAAACTGGACTCATAATCTTAGCAATTTGATTACTTTATTTTGCCATAAAGCAGACAAGACTTTGAGCAGAACTTAGTATTTGGGGGGAATTTCAATGAGAGAATTGTAAATGAACTAAGGGTTCAATATTATTATAGTGCTCTGAAGTTCCTTCAATGAAATTGCTGGTACATGTAAATACCTAAATATATATATATATGGCAAATATCTCAAGTGTTAAAAATAGGAAAGTACATTTCAGGAGCTACCACACTGGACTCACATTTTACCAGATATATATGATATATATGTTACTGTAATAATGCTCTGTAATTAAATAGGTATTTTTAAAAACACTTAACCAAACTCAGCATGATTTTAGGGTCTCTTTTATTTAAAAATATACAAACCATACACTCAAAACTAAAAACTGAAATGCCCACAACACAGATGCATTTATTCTTAAATTCATTTTTTTAAATTTTAATAAAAACTCTTTAAGTTAAAAATGCTAAATTTTGTTATCTCAAGTAAAATCCAATATTACATAAATCTGACCATTTATCAATATAATTTTATTTTTTTTAAACTAGGCTTAAACTACAGAATTTGTAAGTATCTTCTGCCAAAAGAGATTGTATGTTGATGAATCTTTTAAAACCCAGTTCTCAAGTAGTTTTCTTAGAGTGACTATTCATTCTGACAATAAGAAAATGGCAATTTTCTTTTACGAAATTGAGATGGAGGGTGAGGATTCCTTTCATGAGACAGGGGAACTAGCCATTTGTTTTTTTAAGTTATTAGGCTAATAGTTTTCACATTCATTTACAAGGTTACATGATGTCTCCTCTCTTCTCCCCATTTCCCAAATATGAAAATAGCTTTGTTTTCTCTTATTTTAAATCACATGCCTCCTCACGTTAACAGGAGAATTTAATTCAAAGGTAATCTACTTAAATGAAAATGCAGTTATTTAGGAAGATATCAAAATCAGCCAGGATATATTGCTTAAATTAACAAAAACTGATGTGTTTTTAATTCTTTTCAAAACTACATTGGAATTCCTCAAACCTTACTGTTAGCTAACAGCTTTCATATCTTCCTTCTGCCCACCAAAAAAATAATAATAATACACACTAACTACTAGGTTAAATGCACAGCTTATTTCACTACAGTTTTTAAAAATAATTGATCTAAAAACTCTTCTTCCAAATTTTCAGACTGAGAAACATTCATATGGAGAGAGAGTAAATGCTTTGAGCTAAGCTCCGCAACAAGTAATACATAGTACTAAAAAAGTTAGGCAACACAGACCTGGATTCTGTGCTCTGCACACAAGATAACCTGTTCTAAAGTATGAAAGGACGGCTGTTGTCCTTTAGGGATAGGAAACAAGGCCCAAACCAAAACCCCGTGAACACAAGGTGCTCTAGGATTTAATGGTTAAAGTACAAAGTTTATTTCTAGGACAATATCAAAGCAATTTTAAGTTCCTATATTTAGTGATGAACTGTCATTTCAGGGAGTTTCAAATGAGCAATGTCTAGTCACTTTAAAAACTAGGGTAACCTGGTGATGATAAGAAGTAAGGAAACAAGCAAAATCATAAACTGTTAAAGATGTTTAAGCTGTAGAACTCTTCTGGATGGTATCCTGAAAATATAAATCAGAAGTTAAAAAAATATGCATCGTTTCTGAATCAGCTATTATATTTTTAAGAATTTATACAAAAGATATTTAAAAATACACAAAAAATGAACAAGTGCTATTTGTCAGAGCATAGCTTTTTTTTTTTTTTTTTAATTTT